GGATCATTATGAGCGCAGCTCTTATTTTCTTCTCTTCTTTTGTTGTTTATACGCTTTTTTCTTCTCTCTCTCCCTTTATCTCCTGGTTTATTTGCAATCAAAGAGGCATAGCGCATATCTTAGCCCACGTATCCTTAGTTTTCGTACGTTAAAAACGATTTGAATCCAGCAGGGTCTCCCCCAATTCCGTTTCAAAGTGAATGCATGCCGTTTTCGTGTGCTGTTTTGCTTATATTCATCATATGATGGCTATATAACCGACAAATATAGCAAACAAATGCTACACACTAATTGAAGTAAATGTAGCGTGTGCTCTGAACGAAGGTTGAAAGCATTTTTTCGATTTCCTTACAATGATGTTTGCGTTTTTGTGTGCGCCATTCGCTCAAAATCATCCCATAAAATGCGAATTTATTGATCTCTGATCTGGTTAAGTACACACAGGCCGTCGACAAAACCCGTGCCGTTGTGTGCTCGTTTGCTCACTCTTTCGCTGTGTGTGCAGCCTCTGATTCCGAAACGACGCGGAAATCGCTTGAAAAGGTAACACAACACACAACTCTATCGAGTGAGAAGCGATGGAATGAACGTGTATACACGTTCGAACGCGAATGAACGCGACACAACCGAAAGAATTAAAATTATTAACCTTGTTACAATAATTACAATGTAGGTTAAAATGAAATGGAAAATTATGTTTGTTCGGTTGTATATAGGAAATATATTTATTCTCTCTCTGTGTGTATTACTGGCAAAATGAACCTGATGAGAGAGAGAGAGAGAGAGAGAGAGAGCGTGGTGATGTTGGCGGCGGCGGTGGTGGTAGTGGCAGCGACAGTGGCTGCGGTTAAAGTTGAAAATTGGTGAGTTCCAATGAACGGTGCTAGATTTGAGTTGCTGCTGCTATGTTTTATTTCGTTCATTTGTGTCATTTGACCTAAATTTGTCTTTCATTCTTATTTCCATATACTTTCAGCTCTCACTCTTAAATGAATGACTACATGTATGGAAGAGAGAGAGAGAGAGAGAGAGAGAGAGCGGTAGCATTCGCTCGTTCGCTTGCCTGTTGGCTTGCTCGTTTTGTATCTTTGTATAGGCCAGCAGTCGCGCACACAACGGCACGGCCACAATAGCAACAAAAGCAGCAGCAGCAGCAGCAGCAGCAACAGCGACAACGTGCGGCATATACTACACACACAATACATGCCTAGACAACTGAATAATGTACATATTTTTTTTTATATACTTGAACTAATAAATACGTTTATTCGTTATCCATTACCTCATCACCCAAGCAAAAAGCATTCATATGTATATAAACATATCATATTGTGTGTATATTTTATTTCATATTTAGAAAACTGGCTGTCGAACGTTAAACGCAATTTGTTGTTTTATTTTTTCATTTCGTTGCAGCACCATGAAAGACCACCACATATCCTTAGATGTCAGAATAATCAGAAAATGCGGAATGCTTTATTATTATATTATATTTTTGTTTCTCTCATGTGTACACGGTCGCTCTCTATCCCGCTCTCTCGCCACTGTTCCTCACGTATGTGAGATCATGATGAGAAGATAGGCCGAACGTGCGAGTGAGCGCGCGCATACCATAACACTTCGTACACAATTTTATTCGTGTGCAATCTATAGGATAAGAGAGCATCGTATGTTGTTGCCTTACAAAGTCCTCGAATTGAGCGTGACTACAATCGTTTTGCTGCATGGCAAAGAACTTCACTCGATACTTTTCCTTGAATCAACCTATTATCTGCGTTGGTTCGCTGAAATTTTAGTTTTTTTTCTCTTCTATTTGTATAACTTGCTTTCTGTGTGCTTTTTCACAATTTTTTTTGTTCAATTTTCATTCATCTTAGATTTTCCCATTGAACTTAACTATATGGATCTCAATGATGTTTCAGCTATTGACCTAAAATGGTTACGATCGAGGGTAAAATCAAAAAAAAAAATATGTTTGTTCTCAATGAAATTTTAACCGATGTAGGTAATGATAATCTTCCTGTTTCGGAACTCATTGAAATCAAATTACGACGCTCTCTATAATTGACACCAACGACAATGCAGTGCACATTGAGATCTCAATTTTGTGTTTGTGTGTGTTTTTCATTCTTTCCATTCATTGATTGAAATCTTGGCATAATTTATATACATGAATATCAATTATTTTTTTCATTTTAATTTCTCAAATTTTTTTCTCTCCCTTCGGAACAATCTTGTGAATCTGGTCGATTCGAAAAGTATCACTGATTTTATATAGGATAAATCGTAGAAAAAACGAACAGAGCAAACGAGAGAGAGAGAGAGAGAGAGAGAGAGAGAAAACGTACTGGGAAACATCAAGTAGTTCATGGCCAAATATAATAAAATGTCGGAATTATAGCCACAGCACGCAATATAGTTTCATTACACAAATTATGTGCGGTGATATTCTTCGGTGTTTTTCTTTTTTTTTTTCTTGCTCATTTCGATTCGTGTGTTGCGTTTTTAGGTGATTTCATTCGTTTATTATTTTCCTTCTGTATTCGTTTCTAGGATATAGCGATTGTGCTTATCGTTATTGCTTGGGGCTGTTTGGTGTACTTAAATGTTTCGTGTCGTAAATTTTTTTTTATTTTTATACATACATATATCGCTATCAGCCAATATCAGCTGTCGAATGGTCGCATTTTTATAACTTCAACCAACGATGATCCATCATCATACACCAATTTGGAATGGTAGATAAATTAGAGGAGGAAAAATTAAATGATTTTCTCTTCATAGTTTAAAACGTTAATGAGAAAATTGGTTTGTTTCGTTCTTTCTTTTCTATATGGCTGCTTGCCGGTTTTAAACAAATGCGACGAACTGTTCTTTTTTTGTTTCTGTTTCATTTTGAACACATTTCTCATTGTTTGTGAATATGACCTTGGTGATGATGATGATGTTGCTACGAGAAAATGTGGAGAAAAACTAGCAGCGATAGAAATCAATGGGAAAGAAAAGAGGGAGAGAGAGACAGAAAAAAAAACTTTGAAGCGAGAAACTCCAAAGAGATTATAGGAAATAAAACGAGACCACGAGGGAAAAGCACCAATTGATACTCTGTATAAAATAGTAATCGAGATCGAGAGAGTCGAACGTCGATTTGAGTCGTTGCTGCTTTGTGCTAACGTAAAATTCGACACATTGTGGTAAAAGCAGGTCAAACGTATTCATTAAAAGTAAAAAAAAGAGTGATATACACATATATATGAGTTTCTATGTCAAGCTTTGATGCGGCTAAATTCTTTCGAATGAACACAGCGAGAGAAGAAAAGGAGATGTACTTTCATGACGCGAAATTTTCAAGCAATTATCAAATTCGCCAGCAAATTTTTTATGCATGGCCACTGTTTGAGGCATCCAGTTAGGATCGCAAAGACACATACAATAAGTACTCACAAACACATTGATGTGACAGTATAAGGCAGACACAGTCATTCCACTTTACATACAATACACAACAGTTTTTTCGTATCATTGTGTTCGGCTTGTGGGAAAAACATAAAAGCATAGCAAATCAAGGTAAATGCAATTCGAAGGATATGGAAATACATTGTCTCTTGTACACACTAACTGTCTCGCTTTGTCTCCTCTGTCTACATATGGCGTTGCAAGGAAATCAAATTCGCTTGGATTCTATTTTATGGAGTCTGTCTCTCACTCTCTATCTATCCATAAATCGGATGATGGGCGATGAACAACAAAAACCACTTTTAATTCGATGGCATCGATGACGATGACGATGTTGATGGCGAAATTCATTTGGTCGTTTTCATATACACATAAATTACTACATAAATACATATACATACACTTATCAACTAAGAAGACTTTCAAATTAAGTTTTGACTGACCTTAAATGTTGCTCCCGTTTGTCGCTGAGAAAGTATGTAGAACTTGAAACTTGTTCAATAATATCGTTCATATATTATTTGTATTTTTGATGAACGAACAATGAACTAATTATTGTTTTGTACAGCATAGACGATGAAGGGGATGAAGCATACATTTGTTTTTAAAATAGTTCAATACTTCAACACTTTCGTAGTACAAACAGCAGCAGCGACAGTAGTAGCACTACACAGACACAAACACTGTGACCAAAGTTTGACTTAATTACTCCATTTCATGTCGAAGGGCCTCCGTACACAATGTCATATGCATATTTCTGTTTTAGCAAAACATCTTTTTTTGCGGTTTGCAAAATTGCGTTCTTTCTATACACCGACACACACTTTATTCGACTGGATGGTTCGATGGGATTTTCGATTTGCACACTTTTCACTCTATTTATTTTGGGTGGCGAATCGTGTGTATGTGTGTGTTTGCGTGTAGTTGTTCTCGACACACACACAAAAAGAAGATAAAATAACCCCCGACAATAAAAACGGATCCCAAACGTGTGTGCTTGCTTTTGTGTCGTCGCAAAAATAAAGTGGCCGAACCGAGACTGTATGAATGCGGAAAGAAGAATGTTGCCTTGATTTTTCACCACTAACAATATTTACACTTTTCACCCGAACACTGTGTTTAGTTTATGTATATGCCACGGATTGATTGTCTAGTCGATTTTGGTCACAAAATCATTCAAACCATGAATAGACAACAACCGAATATTCAATCTAACCAAAATGATGATTAACATAAAAGATGGCAAGTGACAAGAGTTTCACACATTCAATTTTTATTTTCCAGAAAAAAAAGAAGAAGAATCAAATGAGCTCGGATGAAATGACACTGAAACTTATTGCATGTCGTTTTTATGGTTGCGCTATTGAATTTTACAGCGAATTTATTGCGTATTTTGTTCAATTAGTTCGCTGATTGATGTTAAAAACTGCTTCAGCAACTTCCTCTTTCCACTTTATTTTTGGGGAAGCAATTGATATACCGTCACAAATGTAGAAAACATTTCACGCAATTTGTTCAATTTCTTTTTTTTTATTTGACTTATTTTCAATGATTGACTGAAGCGCCATCTGAAAACAAATATTTCGTCATTTTTGGCAGCCATGTTGTATTGCTGATCACATTTCTGTCGAGCTACCAACCAAACAATGCTTAAATGTGGAATAAAACACAGGTTTAGCGCATTTCTTTGAATGAAAACGAACAATTTTAATCAAAAACAAATGAAAATTCATTGAGCGAATGCTTATGTCTAATAATTGATTAAATTAATTAACTTTAATGTTCAAAGCATAAAAACTAAATGGGTGTGTGTGTGGTTGTGTGTGGATTCAATCGTTTTGTTGCTGAGTGAAAAGTGAGAGGATTTGTATGTTGATGGGAATAGAGACTTGTTCGGTACCATCGTGGCTACGCTTAATCTTGGCCATGTTATGGTCCACGAATTCGATGAGCTGTGTACGCAGCGTGGAATCCGAACTGACGAGAAAACTTTCACGGCACTTGTGGTACAGATCCTTGAACGTCATTCCTGGTGGAAATGAAACAAAAAAATTAGTTTGAATATTCAATTGCTCAAAATAGATCGAGAGGCTTTGAATCTGCTTACCTTGATAATTACTGTCTTTGTGGTTGGCAATTTGATTCTTCACCAAAATCATGTAAATACCACGTGCATTAGTGGTCAGTGAACGGAATACGTTGCTCATTGCCGCCAAATCCAGTTCGCCCGAATTCTGGAAGAATACCGAATTTTCGAAGGCCGTTTCATTTTTGTACGGCAACAATGTGGTGCAGTCATACCAAACAAAGTTGAAGTTGTCGGAGCACGTTTGATCCCACATCAGCGGTGCGTTAATGTGATCGATGGATGCAATCAAGTGGAGGTTCTTGATCTTTGCCAAACGGCTAATGATGTGCTGGTCTTTGGTTTTGCGCAACATCACACCGTCGATATTGTTGATGACAAGGAACACATGCCCATTCGGCATACAGTCCAGTGTCGATGCGATTAAATCAACAGTTTCATGGTCATTGCGAGATGTTGTAGTTATGTCCAGCAATTGTACTTTGATCGCTTGCAAAATGTCTTTGACTGTAAGCGATGGGAAGAAACCATTCACAACAATGAGCGGCTTGTCAGCCACGTGAGCTTCGCAGAATGAATGCAGTAACTGTTGCTTCGAACCGCTGCCATAAACAATGATATTGTATCCTTTCGACATTTCAAGCATCCAACGATTGAAGTTCAACTTGAGATCTTGGAACATCTCAGCAATTCGGTGCTCATGCTCTTCGCTCGAGTTAATGTTGCCCAAGAGACTGAATAATTCTTCATGCTGCAATCGCGATGATTTCAATCGATCCAATGTGTGATCCGAAGTTTTACTCTAAATCAGGGATATTTGAACCAAAGTTTAGTATTCAAACTATTTCCTCTTCGAAAACTGATTTTCGTTGGGAATTCCTTTTCATATATTAAACACAAAAGTACCTTCTTATTCGAAGCGGTGATGAAATAGTTGTCGCTGTCTGGGATGAAATCTTCCTGATTTTTCGCACGTGACCGTCCTCTTGTGTTCATTCGAGTCGCTGGTGGTGGCATCGATGTGATTTTACCCGATTTGGTCGAAATTTTGATGGGTGGCACTTTTCTGATGTTCTTCTGTGGCTCATCTTCACTATCACCACTTGCCGAGTCATTACTCTCTTCCTCGCTACTTTCGCTCGATTGTTCAGGCTCAAAGTCTGAATGTTCATCGGCCGAACTTTCCGATTCTGATTCTGGTTGGACCGCTTTCCTAGATCGTTTTTCCAATACAGACTTGTTTTTTGCGCGTATTTCGTGCGGAGTTTTTGGGTTCTGTTGCAAGCGTAACGCTTTAACACGGGCATTCGGAGTCTTGGGTGTTTTTGGAGTTTTTGGTGTGCTTGGCGAGTTCAGCGATAGTAATTTGAGGCCAGTATTCGGAGTTTTTGGTGTAATTTCGGCCAATTTCATCATAGCGTCCCTCTTTTTGGGTGTATGAAACTGATACATATCTCGGCCGGCCACAGCACTTTCGTCGTGTAACAATTCAGTTGCGTGAGCTAGCTCCATTTTGTTTTCATCGTTTTCGTAATCGTCTTCTTCTTCCGAACAAGACATGCCATTTTCATTGCCACTAATTTGGTTCTTTGTCTTTCGCTTTGATGGTGTTCTTTTTTCAAACAATTTTTCAATGTCTCCACTTCGTCTGCTTGGTTTTACTATGCGACCGGAACGAGTGGTGACATTGCTTGGTGTGTTTTCATCGCCTGACAAAGCTGGAAAAAAGAGGAAAAAATAAGTGTGATTCAACATTTTTTATATTGAATGTTTTGAAATGTACCGTTTTGAACGTCAATTGACAAGAACCGTGCTGATTTTCTTGTGGCCATGGTGAACAAAATACAACTGATTCCACTGTCGACAAAAGCTGTTGATGTGATTGTTTTGACAATTGATTTCGCGGTCTTTTCCTTAATGTCTTGGTATGAAACCCAATAAACAGTCAGCGCCATCTTACATGAATTGTGCAAACCCAACAAATAAATGTTGAAAATGAAATTGAAAACATTGCGTATAACAATGATTTTTTTGTCTCTGATAATTTCTTATCGGTGCCCGAATAGCTATCGTCTGAATAACTTTAGATTAAAATTTGCCGATGCGATGATTTATGTGGTTCATGGAAGAAAACCAAATTTTAATCAATTGATATTTAAGGCGCCGTCTGAAAGGACATTTGCTCAACGACGTCTGTTCAAACTCTGAGAACCGGAGAAATACAAACACCATCAACAAAGCAATTTCGCACAAAAGGTGAGTAAAGATTCATTTGTTTCTTTTTTTTGCGCCGAAATTTTATAATAAGCAACATTCATATGGGAATATCTCTGTTGTGAGCGATGTACGAATCTTTTTCTGTTGGCACAATTCCAATGGGCAACAGAAAATGTGTATGAAAATAAAAATTAAATTGAATTTGGAATTGCACTGTTTGGTATTTTGATACATCTCTCTTTCGTCTTCATACTTAAATTCTTTGACATTTGCTCAATGTATTTCGAATATGGTATTCTCATGTGTCATTCTACTGTCCAGTGCATCGTGGAACAAACAAATTGATTTTGTACGGAAAGAACGCGAATTTTCTTTCGATTTTTAATACGCAACATTTTAACCCGTTTGATTGAATTTGCAATTGAGTGAAAGACACATCAAAATGGTCATACCGGAGACGTCACACAAAGAAGAAGTGATGAAATTGATAGCGAAAAAAGAGCAAATCGAACGATCTATCAATGATTTCGGACAAATTTTGGCAGCCAATAAAAATGTTGGTATGAACGAGTCATTGTTGGATGCAGAGGGGTTTCCACGGGCTGATATCGATGTGTATGCCGTTCGTCAGGCGCGACATGAAATTATCTGTCTGCAAAATGACTTGAAAGCCACCATGGGCGAAATCGAAAAGGGTTTGATCAATGTACACGCCGAGGCGCGAACAAATCACGCAACAACAACAACAAAAATGTAGGCATCAAATATTCAGTATTCACAAATGGTTTTTAAAGATTGAAGAAATTTCTCTTTCAACATTCAAAAAAGGGCCAACATGGAAATTTCCCCAGACACAACACCCGAAGAATTGCCGTCGCATCGCATTGAAACCACCGTACACACCACACCAATTTTGGTTGTGACAATGGTCGCACCATCCTCACCAGCCGAAGACTGTGGCATTCGCAAAGACGATGAAATTGTCGAGTTTGGCTCAATAAATCATGCGAATTTCCGCGAATTGAAACAAGTCAGCGAACTCGTAATGCATCGCCAAAATCAACCGATTACATTGAAAATGAAGCGACAAGGTCGCAATCTTGAAATCACATTGATCCCAAAAGCGTGGTCCGGACGAGGCCTTCTGGGATGCAACATTGTAATTCCAAATTCACAATAAGAAACATGTTCGATTGCACACGTCGATTCACAATGTTCTGGCCCAAAATAAACTGTCGCCCACTTCAAGATGATAGTTGCTTATTATTAATGTTTAAGTGGAATAATTTTTATTCATATTTAATCGTAATTTTTTGTTCTACTTCCAGAACAAAAACAAAAATCGCTTCAATTGATTGACTTTGATTGTACTGTATCTGAATTAAGAGATAAAAACCAATTTTTTTCCAAAAATAAAGCCTTACATTCAATGAGTGTTTTAAATAAGCTAACTTCGATTCTTTTTCTAGGATTAGTTGGCCGAAAGTCATTTTTAGCAGCAGCTACTGAAGCCACAGCCGCTTGTTCGTCGTCTTCGTCGAAAAATTGTTGGTTACCATCGTCTAGAATGTCGAGCACTTCCAGTTCATATACAGCGGGCGCCAGCTCGATTTGCTATGTAACCACTCCGAATGAGGAATCGGCCAAAAAGCTTGCCGGCGACCTTGTCTCAAGCAAATTGGCCGCATGTGTGAACATTCTTCCCAACATTCAATCGGTCTACGAGTGGGAAGGTAAAATCAATGAAGACTTGGAATATTTGCTCATGATCAAAACAACCACCGAAAATGTGCAAGAATTGACCACCTATGTGCGCGAAAATCATCCGTACAGCGTGGCTGAAGTGATTTCGGTGAAGATCGAAAGCGGTAATCCTCCATACCTCGACTGGATTGCTAAAAATGTGAAAAAACCAAACACGCCAAATGAACCAAAAGCCTGAATTTCCGATATTCACAACAGCATTTATTAGCGATACTCATTGTTAGCTTAATGAAAACGGTAGATAAAAGGAGAAGTTCAGATAAAGTGTCAATATTTGATATACTTAAGAAGACAAGACTTTATTTGGACATAAAACTACAGCATAAAGTACTAAATGAAGTTATTGATGTTTGTTTGATGTATCTTTTGCCCCTTTGCATGTGGTGAATGTGCAACCAAAAGCTACGAATAAAATTCAGTCAATTATCGAGCATAACAAAATTGTATTTTTCGTTTTGCCCATTTGGCCCCGCCGCAGTCATTTCAGTTAGTTTTCAATTAAAACTGGCAAATTATTCGAATTGGAACAAATGGACGAGTTCATTATGTTTGATTTGAGGTTTTAGTGATTCTTGATTTCGTGGTAATGCATCATTCTCTATTTTGCGTTGTCATTGTTTCTGTGCACGCATCGCGCGCGTTTTATCTAACGCAAAGCAAACGAACAGCTGATTGCTCACACTTTCTGCTTGCGAGTCTATTCGTTTGTTCTTGACACTTGTTTGCAAATTCTTATGGTAAAATGTAACAATCGTACGCAACATTTATCACATTTACCGCCACAAAATCAAATTAACTGTTTCATATACAATTTTAAAGTTTTCCATTCAAACAAAAACAAATCTTTGATATTGAACTGCATATCGTAATGTGCTGAGATTAACTTTTTTTCTGTTGTTTTTTGTTGTTCGTGTTGTTGCCGATACTGGTGGGGATGTGTGAAATAAATATGATTACCTGGGTATTGTAATCATCAAAGGCTTCTCGGGAGCCTAACAAATAACACGTTGTGAACATCTCAAAGTATTTTGTTTCTTTTGTTTCGTTTTTTTTCTGCATTGCCCAACTGCTGCTTGACTGGTGAGCACACAGACATACACATACATTCTCTCTGTCGCGCGCTCTTCGATTCACCGAAGCCAATTACTGTTGTTATCCATTCTTGTGCACAAAAATTTGCTTGTTGTAACATATGTTTGTTTCAATCACGCTTTTTTAAATCATTTAAGCTACTGCTGCTGCAACATAGTTTGGCGTTATCAAATTTTTTTTCCCACGACGTAAAAAAGAAATTGCAGTTTTTGTTGTTGATTTTTTATTTTGTTCGATTTGTTTGAGAAACAAAAAGAAAGTAGTCATAGATTGTTAACAGGTAAATTGTTGTAAAATAAGTTCGGAAATTTGGTTTTCCTGTGAAAGGAACAAAGATTTCAACCGATTTTTTTTTTGGTTTCAATTTACGAAATCGTTTTTTTTTTAATTTTGAAATTCAATTGAAATTTTTTTGTGCGGTTGCAATTAGAGTTAGTACGGTTTAAACCATTTGATCGATTGTTTAATTGGCGACGATTTTGTCTGTTTGCAAAATGAGCGTTTCTGAAATGTGCAAAGAGCATTCCTATGGAAAAAATCAAAGAATTTCTTGCACAATTGCTTCCAATTATAACTAATAGGTTTTTCGAATTGATATTCACCTTTAAAATATAAATTATTGATGGCAATTACAATCATTCTTTTGTGTGGTGCGTTTTTTTCTCATATTTATTTAATTTAATTTCGATTGAAGGGGAGAGAGCGCATAAAAACGCAGCAAACGTACTGCCACTTGAATTTAAATGATCACAACAAAACATCTGATTTATAGCGCGAAATAGTATGCTGTAATTGCTTTTTATCGCGGGTGTTGTGAGAGCGATTCTTTGGAATTATGGAATAATTGAAAGTGCACAGTGAACTTGAAATGTGTGTGTTTTTTTTAAAGATTTGTGAAAAATGTGTGACCGCAAATTATGAGTTTCAAATCGAATCGGTTTGGTTTGGTTTTTTTCGTTGTTGTTTGACCTAAATGCCAATTTTTTATGTGCCTGAGAATAATAACAATTCATATAAAAAAGAAAGACCTCGGTCACGAAGTCAGGTGCTATGATTAAAATTCCGATTTAAATTTTGTTTCTCACCGTTTTGGAGACGCGTCGACTGTTTGTGTATTTTTTATTTTATTTTGGTTCATCATTTAAATTGTCACCATAAACTTAACTGAAACCGGCCAAATTAATTTCCAATCATTAGATTCCATCACAACGGTAGTATGAATAGATGTGTTATCTTCGCGATTCTTTTGGCATATCTTGCACAGAACGGCTGTTTCTGTGCAGATGATCCAACGGCGCCAAAAGTATATATTTCACCCGAAAAATATCGGCTACCACGAAGCGTCTTCCCCGAACTCTACACACTCAACGTTTTTACGCACATTAATGATGAAGAAGGCTTCAAATTTTACGGTGATGTTCGAATCAAGGTAATCTTTCGGTTATTGACTTTATTTTTTTCAGTAACGTTTTTTAGACAAAAAAAAAATTTATTCAATTTTGCCAAATTAAATACCGTACAAAACGGTTCTTCTGCGTTAATTTGCTTGCTTTCTCTTGTTCTACCTTCTCGCTCATTGAAAATTCATCGATTGCTAATTGACCAATTTTAAATTAAGATTTGTTTTTAAGTGATTCTTCTTTCGAAATTTTCGATTCGAAAACGTATGATTTTGCATAAAAAATTTCCTAAAAAAAAATCCAACAACAACAAGATTTTGAGCTGCAACTATATGAGCCGTTCACTGGCTTATCTAAAATAAGAATATTACGGTACTTGCCATTTCTTTATTGCATGAATCGAGAGTTCAAAAACTTGTTATTCCTGAAATGTTAAACTGGATTTTTCTATAAATTTCTTAGTGTATCGCCCATGGAAAGTATTTCTGTTTATCTTTTGCGATTCCACAAATCCAAGTGGGCGTAGAATACCACCTAGTTGCACGTATATTTATTATTCGCAACGAATCCAAGTGTAACACAATCTGCATTTAACCAGTTTTTTTTTATCAATTGTCTTCAATGTTCATGTAGCGGCGCGACTTTGAAAATAAAATGCCTTGCGATAATTCAAAGTGAGCAGGAAAAAAAATCGCCAACCTTTGTCGACAAGTATTCGACAGGAATTTTAATGAAGATAAACTGAAATAATTCAATTCAGCACAAAAAAAAATTCATTAAGGATACATATTTCTGATAACTTTACAAAGTTTCTGAATTGCAAATTCATCATGCCTCCTATGCATACCAACTCTGATATATCAAATCGCTACATGCAAAAGAAAAAGTTTCGATAAAAGAGAGACCATTGACCTTTCGTTTCTATTTGCATTTTGTTGTGGTTTTTTCTTCTTCTTCTGCCGTCTGATATTGATTTTACCTTATGCACGGCTCAAGAAGTTATTGATTTTGTCTGTGTCGCAAAGCGTAGTAATTCAATTACATTTTGTTGTAGGTCAATGTGATTGAAAATGCGAAGAACATAACGTTGCACGCAAAAAATCTCAACATATCGGATGCCGACATTTCAATCCATCGCTTGAAGGGAGCCGATATGAGACAAGTATCCATCAATCGAACCGAATTCCAAGAAGAGTTTGATTTTTTCATCATCCACACGAATGAGGTACTCGAAAAGGACAAACAATACAATGTATTTATCCCATTCAAGAGCGATTTAAGCAAAGGTCTGCTCGGATTCTATCGCAGTAGCTACATGGATAAACAATCAAATCAAAAACGGTAAGATGATTTCGCATTGTATTGTCTGCATTGCTTGAGTAATCTCGTCTCGTACTGTTTTTCTTTTCTTCTTTTTTCTGTGTCATTCGAGTCAGATGGATGGCCGTTACACAATTCGAAGGTATGTTTGCACATTGTCTCACTCATGTGTGGCGCAAGCAATATTGTTTGGCGAATTTAAATTGACGAATTATTGTTGTATTTCAGCTACTTATGCAAGGCTTGGCTTCCCATGTTTCGACGAACCAGATATGAAGGCAAAGTTTGATATTAGCTTGGGACATCACAAAAATTACACCGCTTTGAGCAACATGCCAATACTCACCTCTGAACCAATGTACGTACTACGCAATTTATCATCTCAACATACAAATTTCAACTTGCAATTTTTTTCTGTTGGTCTTATGATTTCAATGCATTTTTAGTGCGAATAAATCGGATTGGGTACTCGATAAATTCGATGTCACAGTGCCAATGTCAACTTACCTCGTAGCGTACACAATTAACGACTTTGAATTCAGGGAATCATCGGCCGACGGCGACGTTGTTTTCAGAATATGGGCAAGACGTGATGCAATTTCACAGGTAAATGAATTGATAATCAGGAATTATTACACCATTCGACCCGACCGCAAAATGGAAAACCACAAAAATCCATTCTAAATTTAAATGTCATTTCTGATAGTGCCTAACAATTTTGTTATTCATAGGTTGAATATGCCAAATTCGTTGGACCAAAAGTGCTGAAATTCTTCGAAAAAACATTCAAAGTGAAATATCCTCTGCCGAAAATGGACATGATCGCTATACCAGACTTCTCTGCTGGGGCTATGGAGAATTGGGGTAATTTAAACTGAAATTCTTCATTTTCTGAAGCAATTTTTCTTTCATTTTTCTACCTTCTAAGCATTCACGCTATGATTGTTGGTTGAATTTAAAAAACGTTTCAATTTCCAGGATTGATCACATACCGAGAATCAGCGCTGCTATTCCAGCCAAACATTTCGTCATCGAGCAGTCAAAACCATGTGGCATCAGTTATTGCTCACGAGTTGGCGCATCAATGGTTTGGAAATCTCGTAACTATGCGCTGGTGGGTTGACTTGTGGCTCAATGAAGGTTTCGCCACCTATGTAGCCAGTTTGGGTGTGCAACACTTGCATCCCGAATGGAATGCCTTCCAAGAGGAGTCATTGGAAAATACTGTTTCGGTATTTGAATTTGATGCCTTGAAATCTAGTCATCCGGTGTCTGTGCCAATTGCAAATCCAAATCAAATCTCATCCATTTTTGATCGGATTTCATATGACAAAGGGGTAATGACACTGTTTGTTTCCAGTCTCAAATGTCGATTCTAATTAAATGTTTGCTTTGAATTTCAGTCAACAATCATTCGTATGATGCACCTTTTCCTGGGCCACGAAGTATTCTTCAACGGTATTAGCAACTATTTGAACACATACCGTTACAACAATGCCGAACAAGATAATCTGTGGGAAGCTCTCACGGAAGAGGCGCACAAAAATGAAGTGTTAGATGAGCATATCACTGTGAAAGAAATCATGGACACATGGACCCTTCAAACCGGCTATCCAATTGTCAATATTACAAGAAACTATGAGAATAATTCGGCAACAGTGACACAGTATCGATTTTTGAAGAATCCAACACAACCGAAAAAGCTTACCGATAACGACAACCCATGCTGGTGGGTGCCATTGAGTTACACAACCGAAGAGGAACTCGACTTCAATACAACGGAACCAAAGACATGGCTCGAGTGTGATACTAACAATCAACCAATCCATAAGGAATTGATTGATTTACCCGAAAAAGAAGACTGGATCATTTTCAACATTCAAATGGCCGGCTTGTACAAGATTCGCTACGATGAACACAATTGGAATTTGTTGATCAAACAATTGACTGGACCAGAGTTTGAAAAGATTTCCACATTGAATCGAGCTGCTTTGATCAATGATGCATTGGATTTGGCATGGTGAGTTTGTGGTCGTTTCTCCTTGTTCGTTTTCAATTTGTTAATAATTTGGGGATTTTTCTTGTCAATGTTCATATTACAGGAACGGCGATCAAGACTACAGCATTGCACTGAAATTGATAAAATACTTGAAACAAGAGAAAGAATACTTGCCATGGAGAGCCGCTCTATCGACACTGAATGATATCGCCCGCATGCTTCGCCGAACATCGCAGTACGGTGCATTTAAGGTAGTTGTCGGCTATATTACATTGTATATCTCTTCAAAATCTAATTCTTTTGGTTCGTGTTTTTAGGAATATGTCCAAAAAATCTTGCGCCCAATTTATCTGCGACTCGGTGGATTGAATGCCAACCGTAAGCAAAATGATCGTCTTGATTTGGTGAAACATAAAGTTTTGGTATCATCGTGGGCTTGTCGCTTCGATGTCGAGGACTGTAAAGAGAAAGCCCTGTCAATGTTCAGCAACTGGATGAAAGAAGAAGATCCAGACAAAAATAACCCGTAAGCAATCAACTGGATATTCCACTTTTTGATTGTAATCTGTTGCAAATTTTAACATGATTCAATTTTTTCCATTAAAGTGTTCCATTGGACTTGCGTTCCGTTGTGTACTGTACAGCAGTTCGACATGGTGGTGACCGCGAATGGCAATTCTTGTGGAATCGTTACTCAAAGAGCAATGTTGGTACTGAAAAAACACTGATTTTGTCATCATTGGGTTGCTCACGCGAAATTTGGCTATTGCAACGATACTTGGACTGGACCCTCGACGAATCAACCGGTGTTCGCAAACAAGATCGTACCACTGTCTTTAAGAATGTCGCTCGTAACGATGCTGGTCTTTTGTTGGCCAAATCATTCTTGTTCGACAACGTTGATGAAATTTACAAGAAGTGAGTTTTGCATAAGGTTTTTTTTTACTTCATTACTATATATTTGCTTTTTGATCCATTTTTAATAATAAAAAAACTAACCATTTCATATTATCCATGCAGCCTTCAACCCGACACATCGAAATTATCTTACTACATTGATGCGATTGCCCGTGGAATGGTGTACACCAAGGAATACTCTGAATTTGAGAGTTTCTTCAAGAACAAGCCGGAGATTTTCAGCAAAATTTCACGAAATGTGGAACAATCGTTGGAAACTATACGCAACAACAATCGCTGGCAAGAGCAAAACTTTGCAAAAATCGGCCGATTGCTATCCGAATTTTAGGGCTGCGATACAATTCACCAAGTGAATAAACCGTATTGAGATTTTAATTTCAAGAGTTTATATACTCATGTATTTCTTTAAGAAAGAAAGAAAGAAAAAGAAGAGAACAAACAACAGATTTCCTTTAATTTCCTGGAGCGCATAGTAAAGTCATTTTTAACTATAAGACTTTTATTTGTTTTTTTTTGAGATTTTTCAATGTCAATAAAAATATTATATGTATTTCTTAAATTTTGTTTGTTTGTTTGTCGTGTGGCATATTTGGTTTTAAACTAAATGTTTTCTATGTATTTTCCTGTCTTTTTGTCCGTTTCGTTTTTTTTTACTGATCGCTATATATTCTCTTTTTTAACATATGATCATCACTTTCCATCGTGAATTCATTTTTATTTGCTTTTTTTCGAATTTTTCAAATTTGACTTTGAACAAACATTTCCTGTTATTGATTTGCAATTTTTTTTCTTTCAACATTTCATTTTTTTCCATTGACTTTCTCTCAAATTCATTTGTTTTCATAAATTATTTTTAAAAAATAAAAAGAAAGAAAAACAAATGTTCACAACGGATTACAGTATAACAAGCATTCAAAACTAAAGATTTCAATTATGATTATTGCCGGCAAAATAATTAAGTGTATTCCCGAAATGTTGGTATGGAATATTTGTGTTTTGTACAGTCTCTGCATAAAGTATTGTCCGCATCGACCATTTGAAATACATTGTCGATGCGGACAACACTTTATGCGGAGACAATACAAAAATTAATCTCAACACAAAAAAATATCGCTTAGCTGAACGGTGAGAGAGTGAGTTGCATTTTGTGAATGTGGATTTATTTTGAATTTTGATAGCATTTTGGATTTAAAATTTCAATAAAATTCAAGAAGAAAAAAACAAAATCCTAGAAATTATGTGTATATCTGTGGGCAATGGAATTTTGTAAGATGATTTTCTCATCCAGTGTTTATATCGGCAGCGTCTCCATTAGATGAATAACGAGTACGTAAACATTTTGGTATCTATGCGTTCTTTTCTTGTTGTTGTATATGTGTTTTTGTGTGAGTGTTGTTCTTTTTTTTTGAAACAAAACTACAAAGATTACTGGTATGCTACTGTGGATTATAACATTGATACATTATTTCGTGTTTTTTTCTCTTCTCATTTTTTTCTCTTTTTTATTGATTTTGACATGCACAAAATGAAACATTTCATAAATCTAAGTAATGAATATTAATTACAAGTGTTTTTTTTCTGCTTTTGTTGTTGTTGTTATGTTGATCCCACATTTTAATGGTAGCCGGATTGTTCGAAATTTCAATGCGAACCAAGGACATCGTTTCGTGCATAGAACAATAAATACGGCGTTATCATATTTTTTTTCGGTAACAACATCTCACGAAATTCGTGCTGTGGAATTGCTTTAATTTTATCATCGTCACACATATACCAGATCGGTTCATTCCGTAATTTGTGCGGACCGACATAATTACTGCTACCAATATCACCAATATTATTTGAATTGCCGTAGTACTGATCACTATAGACATTTATCATATTATTACACTTTCGCACATGATCGCTTGATGTGTGATCGTTTGCTGTGCCGTTGCCATTGCTCATTGTGGTATCGCTGCCGCTGCTGCTGCCGTTGCTGCTATGATTATTCGCGCTTGCCAGTGGTGTTTTCATTTTGATACCACAACATGAATGGCTCGAACACAGGGTCTTTGGTGGATTGGCCGATAAATTTTCACCCGCACTACCGACCGACACACCACTATCCGATCCATTCACTATGCTCTTTAGACCATTCACCGTTTTCATATTCTTACTCATATCGATGTGATTTGATGAGCTCTTTTTTCGGCCCAGGCCAATTTTTTTCATCACATTACTCACAGTACTAGAATTTACAGACGACGACGATGAGTTCGTCGTCGAAAAGGAATTTTGACGATTGATACTATCTTCGGATGAAGATGATGATGATAACGCTACAACCGCCGGTTGAGCCAGCAGCTGCACATCTTTTCTACTTCTATTTTTTAGACAGTCTATATAAATGCTATCTTGGTTGAGCGAACATGTGTACGCAATATAGTGGCCCGCTTGTAGTGTTGAACCCACATGAGTGATTACGCTATACAGTTTGTATTCATGCTCTCTGGCATTGCCATAATCCGAAATACACTCTGAACAGAAACACTGTAGCGTGAATGGTGTTGGAATGTAACTATTTATCTTCTCCATGCCACCGCTAAACCGTTTCAATTGGATTATGAGCAGTCGCGGTAATTTGGGATACGAAATTTTTCTAATCGCCTCCGTTAAGCCCATGCAATTTTCACAACGGAATTTATTATCACCTTGGAATCGTTCACGAGTTATGCATAAATTCTGCAAATGACAAAATAAAATTAGACCATCATTTAGTCTGGGGATTTCAATTTGGTTCGATTTTTCGGGTTGGTTTCAATTTCAATTCGCTAACTATGCCCTTACCTGGATAAATGAATCGTTCAGTTCGTGCGTTTCCATATTCTCTGTGATTGGAACCGCCAAATCGATCATGGTCTCTTTTTGTTCAGTGGTCGTTTCACAGGCCAAGCACTGAATCGATGACGCGGTCACGCCTTCAAAGTCTTCACTAAAGAAATCTAAACCTAAAGCTTTGATTTTTTCCTGGATCGTTTGTTTACTTATCAACAATGTTTCAACGAATGAACCGCCACAGGCATTTTTATCACTGGCTGCATCGACCACATTGACCGTCGCAGCATTGTTGGAATCGATACAATGGTTGGAATCTTTTGACGGTGAATCCGTTACAATCACCTTATTCTTGTCCTCTTTTCGTCGTTTGAACCACGGAACGGGTTTTCGTTCCGTTGCCGGTGGAATGTTTACTGGGGTTTTAGCTGTTGAACGGTCAATACTTTCGGTGAATCTGAAAAGGTACACAAACAATTATTTCTCACTCTAATGTGAAATCGATAAAATGAACATCAGTCCATTATTTCGGTTACGACACTCACCCACCAACGACAATTTCCGGATAATCGTTAATAACCTTGGTCAATGATTGGCACGATTCTCGTATACTATCCAAAATGCACATGAGAAATTCATGGGCGTCCTGCTGTTGATTGCCTTCAAAGATTGGATTCACATCTTGTATCGCCTTCAATAGAATATCCGATTGATACGGTTCTATTGAATCGGCAATTTCATTATTAGTTAGGCTTTTGAATAATTCGTGTAATTTTTCTACGGCTGTTTGTTGCGTTGTTTTGATTATTTCATAGGCGGGCGACGACGACGATGATGGTGATGACGATGACCCGAGCGATACTAAATCCTTACTACTATAGCTGCGCGAATTTTGACATTGTAAACTGCTTACATTGCGGCCAAGCGATGCACTTTTCAATTTCATTTGGGTCTCTTTGCGATTGACAATCTGTGAAAAATCGCTCACTAAATGATGTAAATTGTGCAAGAATAGTGGTGTAAACCGGAGTGTATATATCACGGAATTCATGTAACACGAATTACCGATGTTACATAAAGAAGCCATTGACAGTGCAATGTCGCATAGTTGATGCTTAAGCGATAGTTCGGTGCAATAAAATGGATCGACGCTCGTCGCATTGTTGTGATTTTTATTGTTGGCACCATATTTGGTGGTGTTGCCTATACCACTTGTATCGTTTGTGGAACTACTGGCCGAATCGTAGTGATAATCGTAGATTGACATCTTGTGTCCGTTCCATTAATGACGCCTTTTATCCAGCGGTCAGTCGAAGAGCTTGCTCCGAAACAATAAATACCAGTGGGTTTGAGTGTGTGTGTGTGTGCGCCTTCGTTCCGCACTTTCAAACTTTGTCTATTCAAATGTTCTAATCAACCTGTTACAAATCACAGCCTGAAGCGATTGATATCCTTGTTCTCTCGTCTTATCGATTCTCACTCGGCAATAGAATTCTTTCTATTTATCGATCTTCCGTCGTTGCAATTGCAATATGATTGATTCTTGATATCAAATTGTTGTCTGTTTCTTGTTCTTTTTTCCCCCTTTATATCTTTCGTTCCTCTTCAATTTATTAATACTGCTGCCGATATTATTTTCTGCTGCCACTCAAAATTTAAACTCTTTTTTTTTGCTGCCGTTTCAAATGTTCACATTTATAAACTCGTCCAATTGTTGGTTGTATGATTTACACTCTTTGTCACGCATCCTGATTTTGGAGCAATTTCCCGACCTAGAAAATATCATTTCGATTAGTCAATTGTGTTTAAGATTGGGGGACCGATAGAGACAGTCTCAATGGTTTCAATGGAAAACAGAATGACAATTCTCTAATTCAATGTAATAGATTTTTATCAAAACGATATATGGTTTGCTGTTTTGTTGTTGTTGTTGTTGTTGTTGTTGTTGTTGTTGTTGTTGTTGTTGTTGAAGAATCAACTCGAAATATTTGTGCAATGAATGAAACACTGTGCAATGATAACTATTTGGGTTGCGGGAAAATATGAAACATATAGAAGAGATTTATGCGATTGAAATTTAATACCACTCATAACATACATTATTGTTTTTGTTTTTATTTATTTGTTGGTTTATTTATTCCGTGTGCGCGAACTGACTATCTTCTGAGTTTCTTCAATTTTTTGCTCACTGAATGATTTATCACATTTTTTTCCACCGATTCAATTTATCGAAACACAACTATCAAATTGAATGTTTATTGTAAATGTTATAATTTCTTTTTTGACTTTTTTTTCGGTGTGTAAAAAGTCAATCGGTATACACACTAAATTGCAGATGAATCCAAATGCGCATACACAAAGAAACTACACATGACTGACACACGTACACCATGTTTTTTCTTCATATTTTTGTACGACAAACATTTTTTGCTTCTGTTCTTCTCTACTTTACTCTCATTATGTGTGTTCTCTATTAATGTCAAACTTCAAATTTTATAACATTACACATATGTATGTGCGTGTGTGTGCGTGTGATTTTTTTTTCTCTTTTCGTTGAGAAAGCATTTTAGTAGTATTTGTATTTGTGCACATTTTAAAGCAGATTCCATATTTTATGCGACACAGATTGTTTATTTAGATGCTCTTTTTCTCTTTCTGTCGTATGAATAGTTCATTCGAATCGAATAAATTGAATTAGATATTGCGAATGGAAGTTAAAAAAGGGAAGAAAAAACACTGTTGTTGCTGGTTTTTTCTTCTTTCTTCTGTGGGATCTTACACATATTTACATTTAAAGACTTAATATTTCACTAAAATCCTCTTCATTCCAATCAACTAAATAATCCAACTGCAACGGTGTTGTAGTCAAAAACATTGCAAATATACTTCGGTGACAAAAATAAAATCGAAAGAAATTGAAACAAATGTGTATGAGAAAATAGATCAGATTTTGGTCTCAACTCGTCTCCTCGTCTGTCCGAGGTGTATGTGTGTACATGTTTGATGTTTTGAAAGCACCGGTGGCACTATCTGCCATGTTTATGAAAGTTTATACGCTGTGAGAACAGCCTGAAGTGACTAGTACTTAACACACATTTGTATATGTTCAAGCGTGTTAACCGTAATGTCTATGTCCCGAAGAGTACTACCAATAAAACTATTTAAACGATAATTGATTTCCAATTTAAAACATTTACTTTTCAATTTCGATAAAAATCATAATTTAAAATCCAAAGGAACACAAATAAAAATAATTTGTTTTATGTATTTTATCGTCCAGCAAAATGTAAACATTTAACGCATTCCTTAACACGTATACCGAATATTTAAGCATTCCACTTGAATATCGCCGATCTAGTACTGCTTATGTGCTACGACGAGAGTATATGATGACAATTCGATTTTGGTTGTGTTGACTAGTACTTTCGCAACTGACATCTCCGTCTTTTCACGTAGAACAAACGTTAAGAATGGCAGGAGTAAGTATTTTCGCCAACAAAAAATCGTCAATCATCACGAAAATCGTGAAATATTTTCTGGATATTTTCACACAATTCGCTCATTTGACGATGACTCAATTGGATTTTATTAATGGTTTGTGCATTTTTTGTGTTTTAGACCTTGTACACGTACCCGGAAAATTTCCGTGCATACAAAGCACTGATTGCGGCCGAATTCTCCGGCGTTAAGGTTAATGTTGCATCAGATTTTGAATTTGGCGTAACAAATAAAGCCGAGGCTTTTTTGAAAAAGTTCCCATATGGACAGGTAAATTGCATTCACCTATTTATTTCGTTGATCATTATTTCGTTGCGGTGATTTTTGTTCAGGTTATTTGATGACGTTACACATTCTGTTGAATGTGCAATGCGTTAGCATCCAATCACTCTATATATATACGAGTATATATATAACGTGATGTGTATACCTAACAATCGCCGGCAATGATGCTTTTTCAACCATTTTTTTCTCCGTTGAATTCAAAACTACTTAGAATTTTCCAACTGATTGTTTTGTTGTTTATGGAGATAGATCAATTTGAATTCTTTTTGTCTGTTTTGTACTCACATTTAACCATAGTATTGAAACATTTAAGGGGAATTTACATTTTCATTTTTTTGCAACATTTACTTCTATTCTTGCATCATGTTGTGTATGATCGCGTCATTGTGTTTAATCAAAACGAAATTTTTCTTTGCGATTTGATGTTATTAGGTTCCAGCCTACGAAACAAATGACGGCAAATACTTGACCGAAAGCAATGCTATCGCTTACTACGTTGCCAACGATCAGTTGCGTGGAAAAACTGATTTGGAACGTGCTCAAGTCGTCCAATGGCTCAGCTTTGCTGAAAGCGAAATTCTACCATACTCATCAGCTTGGGTCTTCCCATTGTTGGGCATCATGCAATACAATAAAAACAATGTCGAACGCGCAAAAGAAGACTCAAAAAAGGCTCTCAGCGTGTTGAACCAGCATTTGCTCAACAACACGTTCTTGGTTGGCGAACGCATCTCATTGGCCGATATCGTTGTGTTCAGCAACTTGTTGAACTTGTATCAATACGTTTTGGAGCCATCCGCACGTAATGAATACGGTAATCTTACACGTTGGTTCAAGACCATTTTGAATCAACCACAAGTATCGAAAGTAGTAAAGAATTACCAAATCGCTGAAAAGGCCATCGAATTCGACCCAAAGAAATACGCCGAATTCCAAGCTAAATTAGGTAGCGGTGCAGCTAAACCACAAAAGGAACAACAACCCAAGAAGGAAAAAAAACCAGCTGCCGCACCAGCCCCGAAAAAAGAAAAGGAAGCCGCTGAAGAGCCAGACGCAACTGAACTCGCTCTCGCAGCTGAACCAAAACAAAAAGGTCAGTACCAATCGAAAATGAATGTTGAATACTTTGAACAATTACAAGGAATTCTCTGAAAAATGTTCACCCTTTTTCACACCGTATCATATTCCATTCTTACAGATCCATTCGAAACCTTGCCTAAGTCATTGTTCAACTACGATGACTTCAAACGTTGCTACTCAAACGAAGATGAGGCTGTTTCCATCAAGTACTTCTGGGACAAATTTGATGCTGAAAACAATTCAATTTGGTTCGGTGAATACAAATACAACGACGAATTGGCTAAAGTTTTCATGAGCTGCAATTTGATCACCGGTATGTTCCAACGTCTCGACAAAATGCGCAAACATTCGTTCGCATCGGTGTGTCTATTCGGTGAAGACAACAACAGCACAATCTCCGGTATTTGGGTGTGGCGTGGCCAAGATTTAGCGTTCACCTTGTCACCAGACTGGCAAATCGATTACGATTGCTATGAATGGAAGAAACTCGATGCAAAATCGGAAGAAACAAAGAAAATGGTTGAAAACTACTTCTCATGGACCGGTACCGATAAGGGAGGCCGCAAATTCAATCAAGGAAAAATTTTCAAATAATTTCGATGTTTGTTTTGTATGCGAATTTTCAAAACCGCATTCATTATGTTGAACACTAAACTGGATTGAAGAAGAAAAAAAATCATATGAAAATGCTGAAACATTTGTACGAAGCAACATACATTCGATTTTTCACTCAAAATTTTATGAAATCAATAAAATTGAAATAAAAAAACCCACACATATTTCAAGTTTTCTTTTTCTCATTTTGATATATTACAATTTAAAAAATACAATTTCAGTCGTTTGCTGTTTTGGGTTGAAACAATTAAATGGTATGTATATCCCGGGATGTCATTTAGTAAAACTAGTTTAGTTCACTTCTGCATGATGTGACAAAAATACGCAGCTCATCGATTCAGTTCGATATCAACGCTTACGTCTCGTGTTTTGAATCATTTTCACTGATAAAAAAAATGCTGACGCTTTACGTGTGCAAAAAAAGAACGTTTCGACATGGATGTTGGCGTATCACTCAAGTGATATGAATATTGCACGCGTCTGTTTACCCTACACTTATTGCGATGCAATGTTTTCAAAAGCAAAAACAAAACAAATTTTTTGGCATTTAATTTTGATTCTAAATTGGCTCTCAAGCGAACATTAGATTACCTAACAAATTGAATCTTTAATATTCACAATTCTTGCCAAACATTTTTTTAGGTATGTGTGGTATTTTTTCGATGACGCAATGAGTAACTGTTGTTCGACCTGTTTGTTTTGTGTCGAAGTGAATAGCTGCTCGTCAGGCTGGGACTTGAGATGATTTCCAAATTCTCGTTGATATTTATGTCATGCAGTATGGATAGATCGTGTGAGTTGATCATCATAAAATCACTCGGATCCATTTGTAGTGAGGATGCCAAACGCAGTGATTCAATATCATCGTTGCTAATTTGAATCGATGAGGTGGCAGAACTTTCGGACAGCAAATCGTTGAACCGTTCATCAATGACTAATGGCAGTTCGTCAACGGACGACGAATCATCCGAACCACTATCAACATTTTCAATTGAATTTCCTCCGGCGATGCCGGTGTTGCCAGATTTTCTTGCCGCACGGATCGGATTTGGCAGTGCAAATTCAACGATCGGTTCGCTTTCGATTTCAATTACCATTGCAACGCTGTGATCACGTTCAACATTATTTTCGGATTCAACTCGGAATAAATTGGATCGTAGCTGACGCAGTTGTTTAATATTTGGCGTTGAGATCGGGGCAACATCTTCCATTTCTTTGTTCGGTGTAAGAAATGGTGACGATCCCTCAGATTTGATATTATTTGGACTTGCTACAGACGATGGCCCGTTTCGATTTGATCTCTTGCCTTGGCTGGGTTCCTCTTCATTGGCCGACAAATATTCATCCGCATCATCGTCTTCAGACGAATGTTCATAGATAATTTGACTATCCATTTCAATTTCTGGACCGGAATCGCTGTGCACTGATGTACGTGATCTCGAACGTTGTGAACTGGATTTCGAATGCCGTGAACTGGGTTTTGAACTCTTTGGACCAGGCTTCGAGCTCTTTACAGATTTTGAACTCTTTGGACCAGGTTTTGCACGTATTCGACCTCTTCTCAACGGAGAACCACTTTCGTAATCTTGTGTGTTAATCACCGTTATCAATGAGGCGTCTGAATCGCTCATATTCATTCGGTCATACTCAGCATCACCAAGTGCTTTAATGCGATTGAAGCAATTTTTCAGGTATCTTTCTTCATAATATGGGGCCAAGGCACGATTTGAACGATTGATTCGTCGTTTCTTCAAACGATCCTCATCAACATATTTATTGTACAAATACACGGCGTTTCTTTCCATTTTCTGGTACAAACGACGTTTTTGCCATGGTGCCAAATCGTCGAATGTGGCTCGGCCGAATTGTCGCTTTGGCCAACTCTTCTTCACGCCATGGCACACATTCGAGTGGAACAGCTCGATGTGACACGGAACCTTTTCACAGAGGTATCTCAATTCGGTTTCGGTGAAGTCGGGAAAATCAGTGGCCTGCAATTTTCATGAATCTTTTGAATTGTAATGTTGAAAAAGGGGAAAATGAAATTACTTACATCGTCTTCAAAGAAAGCGTCAAGCTGGGCCTGGTTCAATTTGCCGAGTTTGCTGAGATTCCATCGCGAAAATCGAGGATTTTTCCAGTCTATATGTTCCAGAAACATTCTGGGTGTAAATGGATCATTTGGATTGTATACAATACGTTTGACGTTTCACATCTGTGTACTAAACGCGCAAACGTGCTGTCAAATTTAGTATAGAACCAATCCGAAGTCAAGTTCAACACTTTTAGTACATGGAAATCGTTTGAAATTAGTTTTTTTTTCTACAAATTTATTCTGGTAATTATTCAGTTATTTCGAATATAAATTTAATAAAAAAGCGGGCGACAATTTTCACGCATGACAAAAAACGCAATTTCATTTCAACTAGTATTCGACGTGAATTAAATGACAATAAAAGTATCTCCTGTCGCGACATTGTTTATTCGTTGTTTTCCACTTCGCTGTAGCTTATAAGCCAAATATTGCAACTCAAATTTCCAATGCAAAACGGAATAAAAGTCAAAAACTGAAGAAAAAACTCTCTCCTAATAGGAATTTTTTCCAAATATTTGTATCATGAACAGCGATAACACTGCCACTGCCACTGCCACTGCCAATGAAATGTCATAATTATGATTCAAACATCAGCTCCAGTTTGAAAACGGAAAATAGAGTGAAAAGACTTTTGACAAAAGAATCTTAGGTCCAGAGCCATTTTTAGCGCAACTGACCAATGAAGATCGTTTAGAGAATGGTACAATCAGTGCAAATGACAACCGCTGAGCAGACAGTAAATTCACTGACGTGACGCCATTGTCTTTATTATTTTTGTTCAAATAAATTCATTTTTCACGCCAAAGCAAATCCAAAAGAAAAAGTTTGTAGAACTTGGTCAAAAGTATGGAAAGAAACCCAATTGAAAACGCTCCATGAACTAATTTCGTGAAATGCATATATTGTGTTTGCTTTCGGTACAAGAAATGAATGTGATAGAAGCTTTTTCTTTGTTCGATGTACAATAGTTCAACAAACTGGCTTTATTTTTTACACACATTTGTACTTGGAATAAGTCTGGACCAAAAGAAGCGTAGAGTATTCCTTTGGGTGTAATTGATTTTTTAGTGTCTGCACTGCAGAGTCTTGCAGATAGAGTTTGAAACAACTGAGACTTTTCGATCTTCAAAATACGACTCTCTGTTCCTCTCTTCACCTTTCTTTCCATTACAACTCTTTTAAATCATGGCTTTTCATTCGAATCAATAATACGATATTTCATGACGTTTTTATCTATATTTTTGTGCTCCAATTGAGTTTTCCCATTCTCAAGGGAGTAAAAATCTGTTATTTAAAATGAATCCTCAAGGGATTCGTTCACATCAAACTAAACCTATCAAATGCCATTGCGAAGCTTTCCCACCCCTCATCATCCACTATGGCGGCTCCATTTGCATGCATGCACTCATGAAAATACCTTTCACAATATGCCTTGAAGGTCGAAACAAAGTTCCACACAATTTGAAACCCAAATACAAATAAGTAAGTTCCAATATTGTTTCATCAAATTTGAATGACTTTCACTTATTTGGAACGGTGATTCACACGAAACTACTATCCACCCAAATATATTCGCGTTGCTACCGTGGCTTCTGTGAAACGAATTGATTTTTTAGTGAAACATTTACATGAACGACGACAACGACGACAGCAACGGTGCGGCAACAAAAAGCAGATATTATTTTTATTAATATTTGCTCTGGGGTATTATTCAATGTGATATTTTGCACTAATCCCATGGATTCCAAGCTTTCATTTGAAAAACTGCATACACATTCCCCATTGGCCGGAATAGTGTTTGAAATATTCAATTCATTGCATGTATTTGTCATAAATGTGTTTACATAAAATCTTTTCGCTTTTAAGTTGTTTGTATTTGCGAATAAACAAACGATGTTTGTCCCTAAGACCAATGATAACTGGTTTGCAATAAATTTGATTAGGAAATTTGACCGTTGTTTCCCTGTGTAAAAGACAGAGAGAAAGAGAGAGAGAGAGAGAGAGAGAGAGAGAGAGAGAGAGAGAGAAACGTAAAAAAAACGAACCGAGTAAAAAAGCATTAACATTCGAATGAATCGAATATGATAGCGTGTATAATTCGGACCTCCCTTTGGTGACTTCAATTATGTTGATTATTTTCCTCATTTCCAAAAATAAATGGAATTATTAAAACCATTCTTGGCCAGAGGCGATTTGGTCGGACTTTTGAATTCGATATCTTTTTCACATGGTCACAACAACAGCAACAACAGTAGCAATAATAGCACAGGGGAAAAAAGCAGTGCATGACACGAATATATGTTGATGTTGTTATTATTATTGCATTGACTTTACATTTTGGTCGTTGTGTATGGAGTGCTGTGCATTGAGGAGCATCCGTACGCAAAACATGATTCAGCAGTGGTATAATAAATGCCATTTACTAGATTGACGCTCATATTTCTACATTTCAATTTTCCCAACGATGCTGCCGACCACTTAACGTACATACACACAACTCGCTCGATTATCCAAATGCGATTTCGATTCATTACTTTTTCTGCATAGGCGTAGATAACAGACGCACAATTTCATTATGAATTTTATATTAATATCATAACAGTGAGTTTTTTTTTTCGTTCAATCGGTTCGCTGGCGAAAATTGCGAACAGTCCTTAGCCGCTTCCATGGGTGAGTATTTGATTGTGTATTAATGCGTTTTGTCCAACACTAGACTATTTTCAAGATGAGCATGGTGAGCAACTTGGTTGAATTTGAATAAGAAATGCATACGCACAACAGATAAAAAAGGAGTACAAACTGATTGAAAATATTGGCAATTATGTAAATAAATTGGATTTGTGCAGAGGGTGTGAATGAACCAAGTGTAGATTGTAGTATATGTTGTAATTTGAACGAACAAGCGTGGAGAGTGCGACAATCTGAAGTGCATATTGCCATACTTGAAATGACTTATGACTGAAATTTTAGGGGCCAATTACTATATTAATATGAGTTTGAGGATGGGGGAGAGAGAGAGAGAGTGAGTATGTATGCGTGCGTATACAGATACACTGTGCTGCTGTACAAAAGAGATGGGCATCGTGTGTACAAAACACACACACACACACACACGACGACAACATAATTGGGCTATTTGATGTCGTTTGAGAATTTCGACATGGTGTTTACAGTAGGCGGTTCTCGGATTAGTTTTGGCTACAGTCCATTTCAATATATAATAATTTTCAACAAATAAAGGATTTCAACTCAATGAATAATGAATGAACAAGTGTAAAATTTTCGTTATTTGTTTAATGGCCGTTGTCGTGTTGAGCCGAAAGCCAAATCGATATTTAAATTGCATCTTCGTGTTAATGGATGCGATGGACGCGGGAGCGGGGCTACAATACAACCACTTGGGCTTCCTAAATTGTATATGAACAAGAGTTGTTGTTGTTTTTTCTCTTCAGTTTCTAATTTTACAACACGACTTGGATTATTATCCATTCATGACTTTATCGTACAACGTAATTATCGAGTAAAAATGAGAATATTTCGTTCTTTTTTTATTGTTATTTACAGCTTCGTACGTTCGAATACTTATCCTTTTACACCTATTTTGCGGTTTCTCGATTTTGGCATTTTGCAAATGACAAAATCGCCGACGAAAAAGCGAATTACCTTTGGCAGAAAATCGTGTGTACAGATTCCATTTACTGTCTGTACATACGTGGTACAAATGATAAAATACGGCGAGAGCGAGAGGAAGAGATAAACACGGAACGGATAAGTTTTAGATATCAACAAGAGAAAATACTATCTCTGTCTTTGTGTCGTCCTCGCACTGTTTGATGTTGCGAATGTGTTTTTTTTGTGCTTCTCTAGCTTGTCACCGAAAAAAAAGAGACACGCTTTTTGCCTGCAGACTGTCATGTTTTTCATCGTCCAAATAAACCATTATGAAATTGTAGCTACCGACAGTAGCAGCTGAAATTCAGTTCCATTTTATCAAATATCAAATACAAATTTTCCAGCGACAAGTTATTACTCAACTTCGTACAATCTCTTTCGACTAATGAAACATTGACATCACAGTTTTGTTGTTATTGTTGCAAGTTTGCAAACAAAAAGGTAGACATCGAGTGAAAAACAGGACGATTTTTTTCCCATTTGTTTCTTCCTCAGAACCGTTTTTTCGGGTGGTTGCAATTTTTCGATCATTTTCATTCCACTTTTTTAATCGATAATTACATATGGACGGATAGATTGTTCAACTCATAATTTGATATAACATATATAGTTTATCGATGAGATCAAAAATAGATTTCACTATTTGAGCTGCACATAAAGAAAATCGCATTTTTTTCTCACATTTCCCTTATCAGCTTGAAAAATAAAATCGTTTGAGATTGCATTCCATTTTTTTTTCAATTCATTTAATTCCATATGAAATTGCTATTTCCATCTCATCGACGCCATCATTTATCGTTAATTTCAAGCGACAGTGCCGGAATGCCAGTAAGAGTGGCGAACAGCAGTAATTATTGGTTTGAATCTGAATATTGTTTCGTATTACATCGACGGTTTTTTTTTCTCATTTGCATTCAATCCGAACTGGGGAATAAAATAACTTTTGCCGCAAAATATAAAGGTTTTTACAAAAAAAGTCTGAACCGCCCGAAAAAAAAACAGCAACGACAATAACTGGATATTCATTGTTGGATTGAACATTTTTGCCTCGAATTTTTTTTTATCGATTTCATACAAATAAAAAAGTATTTGGCAGAATGTGCGATCGAATTCGAAATTAAATGCCACCATTAAACGTAAAAGTTATTTTAACTCTTAGAGCAACATTGTTGACATTTACCTGTTATTATTATCAATTTCCAAACGTAAAGAGTTTGCCAGAAAACAGGAGTGACTATTTTTTTAACGCTCTCTCTCACTCTCTCTCTCTCTCTCGAGGTACATAATAAAACGAAGTGACGCGATTTTGAGAATGGAGCATTTTCGAATCCGTCATCGAATTGTTAATTTAATTTGTTGTCATCCAATAACCGTAAAGTTCGCTTCCGCCCTCGGAACAGGAACTACGGCAAAAGGTTGTGCAAATATGTTACTATCAAATGGTTGTTTCTC